ATATCGAAAATAGTTAAAAATACGTTAAATGCGAATCTTTAAAAAAGACGTCTAACTCACATTTTTTTTTAAAATTCAATTATTTCATTAACATTTATTATTTTTGCGATACAAATTTCTTAATATAATTTTCATCATTTTAATTAGGAAATTTCATATGGAATAATATGATATCAAAATTTTTCGAAATTTTACATCTGAAAAAGTCATATCCCATATAAATTTCGGATGTAAAATTACATGAGGTATGATTTTTTTGGACGTAAATTTTTTATTGTAAAATTTCATCCAACTTTTTTACAAGTTCGATTGTGCCTCCTATCTTTTAAGGCCTGCGTCCGCCCCTGTCGAGGCTCCTAGTAGAATTCACGCTTTAATTCACGCGAAGACATTGAGTCAAATCTGACAATCAACTGAGACTCAATTAGTCAAAGTAAAGAAGTCAAAGAAGCTGATCTTCTTTGTTCCGAAGCTCTTATTTGGTCGTATTTCGCCGAAGCGCTCACTCTATTCGAAGCTCCCTTTAGCAAAAATCGTTTTTTAGGGAATCTGTAGACAATCTTTTTGAATGTTTGATGTAACGTTAATAATGATGAATGTCTGAATTGTCAATCTAGGGTATAGGGTGACTGGTCCGTTTTCAATGTATTAGATACGTAGCAGATTGAGTGATGTGAGATTTCGGCCGCTGATGAAGCCACGTGTTTTTTATCCAACAATTACCGCATCAGTCAGACCCCTATAAATAAACAACTCTTGTAACATTCGTAAATAATGCAACTCTTTATACTCAAAGACATACACAAACTCCTCTCTTCATTCCATATTCATTTGGTTGAGTTTGGATTATTTTTACTTTGGTTGAGTTGTTTGTGTTTACAAGTTAAATATGCAATCATTTTTAATCAAATTGTCGGTGCTCGAACATTTTCATCTCGTGTAGTAGGGTATCTCCCAAGTCCATAAACGCCATCTTTTTTCTCCCCAACCGTCGGTCAAAACACGCTGAAATTTGCTCGCGTGGATACGAGTGGACTCGATATTTGTTTTTTACGTAACCATTGCAAAAAAATAGGGTCTAATATTTTTCGTTTAACTCAATTTCAGGAGGGGTTTCTAGATTTTGTCTGGATTCAATTTGTTAATTTGTCCAGTCAAAATGATTGTTCAATCGACTTGTTAGGCTAGATTTTAAAGTAATCTTTTTGAAAACTAAGTGCTTCTCAATTCAAGTAATTTTTAAGCTTCGTGAGATATATCAGCCTAATGCACTAGTCCAAAAGAAAATAGTTTGGATAAAAACCACCCACATCATGCAAAGTCAAAATTAATAGCTCCAATTTAGTAAGTCAAAGTCAACAATTAATTTAATCACATATTTTATAGTTTCTACAACTTTTCAACCACACATTTCATCAACTTGTATCGAAATCTGCTAAAAATCTGATTTTAATTCCCATCAAACAGTGCATAATAAACATATAATACTTTTGGTCATTAAGAATGAGAAGAATTTTATACAAAAAACTGACAAATTTTTTTTTGTGCGCCTTAATTTCTTGACTTTTGTTCTATCCAATGTACCAACAAATCTTTTGTAAATGAAATGTCTCAAGTGTAAATGCTGTGAGACGATCTATATTTATAAAATAAATTTGTACAACAATAATCAAGGAAATAATTTGAATATACACAATAATTATGGGAGCTAGAATCATATCTCCTAAAATCATGGAGAATCATTTGTCTTCTTGATCGCGATAGAGGGACGCGGATTCCCCTCTAATATATTTAGCCCCTGTTTGGTTCGGATTAAAATCTGATTTTAATTCACATCAAAGTCAAACAATCAATCAATATTAATCATATTTTTTATGGATCCCACAATTTTTTAACCACACATTTCAAAAATTTCCATCACAATTACTAGAAATATAATTTTAATCATCACCAAACACCCTCTTAATATTTTAAACAGTGCTTATAAGAGTAGATGGTTGTTACCATGTTATTGAATTTACTTGGCCTTCATAAGTACTAATGTTTGTTTGATTGCGAGCATGTAATTTGAATGGAAAGAAAATAAGTTTAGGCAATCCAACATAGAAATTGTCAATTAAATGTGTTCGATTGACTTAATTTTCAACATATAACATATTGTGTTTTTTATAAAGTTGAGTTTTTAAAAACTGTGAATTGTCTAGAAAATAAAAATCTACCTCTCATAAAGAAAATGTTTCCTTGTTTTTGAGGAAAATATGATATGTGACCAACTTTTGAAAAATATTTTTTATAGAAAAAATATCAATCAAATACCAAAAAAGTAGGAATTTGGATGGAAAAATGATATTTTCCATAAAAATATAGTCAATCAAACACACCCTAGAAGATCTGCCTTAAATATTTCACACAGCAACAGCAAGTCGAGCAACAATGACGAACAACTACACTTAGTTACATAAATCCTGTTGACTATTCTATTCACTCCTCTAACTCAAGCAAAAACTAAAAATAAAAAAACAAATATTTGAGGACTATGGAAGTAATGAAGATTGTATAGCTAGTCGAAAATGAGTCATAGAAAATCCCAAACCTTTTGTCATTGGATCTTGCTCAAAGGCTGGACTAACTAAACGCTAAAAGGATTGGTCTGAAATGTTGGAATTTGGTTTTAAAAAGATGCAAAATTGGTTAAGTATAAAACTATGGAAAACTGACTTTCGTGTTAATTTCGGTCAAATATTCGGACTTGATTTGATAGTCAAATTATGAAAATACATAGACTAATTTGTTTTATTCTTTGAGTAGATCGTTGTTGTATATTTGGTATCTCAAAAGCAATTCCGGATGAATGAGAAATTGCGATCAAAAGTTGGAAAGAAAAAAGGAAAAACTTGTCGGGAATTTGCCTAATTTCACCGCTTGTCTAGCACTCGAGCGGTAAGCTAGCTATAAGACCGTCCCTCGAGCGACATGTCTCTACATAAAAAACACCATGGCGCTTGAGCGACGCACCAGCGATAGGTTAACGACAGAATGGGTTGTGATTCTTCGTGAAGGTTGGTAAGTTTTGGGGTGTATCTTTTCACTTACACCATCTCCTTTTCTATAAATAAGATCATTGGGATGTCCATTACTTCGTCCCAATGATATGCAGCCATAACATAACATAAAAATCCATTTTTCTTAGCCAAAATTCTGCATTAAAAAAAAAAAAAATTAGTTTTCCATTTCACACAAGGGGAGTACAAAAATTATCTTTCGATTCATTGCTCGTGTTTTTGGAGTGTTACAAACACAAGAAGGTAATCATTGTATATTGGGAGTTGATTTCCATTATTCGTAAGCACCGTAGAGGGGCAAAACCAACTTAAGGACAAATAATTCATCTATTGCCTCGATTTTGCATCCATTACTTTTGGTGTTATTTTATCCATTTCTTGGTGATTATTTTGTTGGTGTTTTGCATCCATTTTGTTGGAGTTTCCTTGCCGTTATTCTGTTCAAATTTGATAAACATGGTAAGTTAAAGAAATCATTCGATCCTATTTTAAAAACTACATGAAAGCGCAAAATTCAATTCAGGGTGAATAGACATTGAACCTGAGATGTCTTTTGAAGGAAAGAAGTTAAACCAACCCACGTACCCGTAGGATGATCAAATATCATAAGCATCATTACCCTATGCTGGACATTTAAAAAAGATTTTCCTGCTTTTGATAATTGGGTTGCTCGAGAGTGAGCAATAAAAACCAACAATCATCTTCCCACTTTTATGTCGCACAATAATGCTAGTTTAGAAACTGAGGAGGAGGACAGAAGTCACCAGGTTAGAGTCAAAAGAGCAATCCAAATTCTTCCCAGCAGGATTTGAAACTGCGACCAGTCAGTTGAGATTATTCAAGAAATGGCGACCACACTGCCAAACTTAAAAATCAAAGGTAGTATAGACAGCCACCCATTAATGACAAACAAAAAGCCGAAAACAAAGAACTTCATACAAACCATTTGCAGATTGTAAGCTTTAAAATTAGATGCCCTTTACTTTGATACCAAAGTCCTATATCGTGGAACAGTCATTTTTTAACATTGCTGAGCATGCTGAAATCATTTGGAAACAGTAAGAGTTCAAACCCTTCTTGCGTCATATATTTAGAATTGCAAGCTGAAGACTTGATGTGTTCGAAGTACAAAACATAGTTTCATCACACTGAAAATTGTGTCACTCAGGCTTGATTTAACCTCTAAAAACTTTATGAACATCTTATTCCTCCCCACTTTTCACATATGCACAAAAAGAAACATAAAACAAAAAATTCAATGAAAGGAACTAGAGACGAGCTTCTCCAAAACTGGGAACTGCAGATCACATGAGAAAACAGAGAAACACGAGAATGAAGCAAAACAAGAATGCACAAAAGGTCAATACTGTCTACAAAATATGGGGAAGTTGAGAATCCAATCTCTGCTGCAACTCTTTGATCTTTTCTGATAGATCAGCCTTTTGCTCCTTGTAGCTCTGCAGCAGGTATTCTTTTCCCTCTATCACTTCCTTTAACTCACTCACTTCCTGTCTCAGCATCTCAATCTTTCCCTCGTCTCCTCTCCCTTTTTCCAAGGGCTCCAAATTACTTTCAACGTTAAGATACGCATTTGAATGGCCATTCCTGCCTCCGGATGGCCATGAAACCGTAGGGGGATTGTTGCTAGAATTCACATACCCCACGCAATGATCAGCTATTGCCTTTCTTAATCTCTGTATTTCCCTCTCGGAATCAAACATGTCCCCGTTTGCGGCATCCAACAGTGATTGGAGATGGGAAGAATGTGAAAGCTGAGCACTAAGAGAGTTCTGAAGTTCGGTAATCTGATCCTGCATTTCCAATATCATGTCATCTCTTCTTTTTAACTGCTGTCTCAGTTTTTGTATCACTTCTCGCTTGCTGAAAATATCAGATCCAGATTCTGAGACACATGGCGAGTCAGAGCTGTTTGACCGGTGGAATGGCTTCTGGGGAAGATCAAGACGATCAGGAGAAGATGCCCAGATCACACCATTCTCTTTGCTCAGCTCAGAAGCAGGCACAGTCACTAATGGAAGAACCATTTCAGGTTCTGTCATCATTTGGCCATTGCACCGTTGTTTGATTTCCACCATGTTTCCAGATCCTGTTCCATGAAATCACTTAAAGAATTGACATTTGAATGTATGCATACTTTTTGATAAGCAAGAACCTCACACATGCAAATATATATAAACTCATCACATCTTCTAGAAAAATCAGTACAAAGAAATTTGTTCGTAAAATAAAATAATCATTAAAAGGGAAAAAAAAATGTACAAGTTTCAATAATAACTCCTCTCTGAACAACTCAAGGATAGGATCAGGACTGAAATGTTTTACCTGAATAACAATTGTGGCAACCATTCTCATCTTGAGGAAAACAATAAGCATTTGAATGCATATGGCTGGTCCTTGACTTCTTCTCGTCAGTAGATTTTCCATTTCCTAGATTATAAACAACTCTTTAAGAAAATATAAAAAATTTAAATACAACAAGAATGATTAAAATTTTATTCCCAATAAACTGCAAGCTTGTTCGGGAGAGATTTTTCAAGTGAAAAATGATATTTTTGGAGAATGTGTGGTTGAAAAGTTGGGAAAATCTGTGTCCCATAAAATTCGGGGTAGAATATGATTCTGGGGAAAAATGATTTTCAAAAAATAATTCCCAAACAAGCTCTAAGAGTCTACTTGAATCCTTTTCTATACCTTTTAAAAGATTGTTACTATTTTCAGGTCGTTTGCCGTCAAGGACCTGCTTCAGCTTAAATCCCAGGCGAATTGACAATGTACTCAACAGAGCACTGCCTGCGATAAGGACCCAGTTTGGGCCCTCAACCTGCAAACCTCTGGAACTCCTAGGTACCTCGTTGGTCCTTCGCTTCATGTCAAACTCTATCGAGCAAATGGACAGGGAATCTTCTGGTGCATTCAAGTAAGCCCTATATCCAAAGTTCAACACAAATTCCTTAATAAGCCAAAACATATTTGGCAAAAGCTTAAATCGCTCCAATGTCAGAAAAAGTATTACAGGTCTAATAACTAAAGGACCTTCATGAGTGAATAATGGAACAACCAAATAGTGAAATTTTGTCCTAACTCTCATTTCTCAGTCTACAAGGAACAGAGATGGTCTAATTGGAGAGGGCGTGTCATAAGAATATTAGGTAACATTGGCTATCTAAAAGTTAAATCTATGTTTAAAGCAGCAGTTACACCCCTTTTGATTTATTTGGGTTGGACAGAAAGACATGCTTATGGACTGAGTCTGTAGCCACATTAGTAGATATCCAACTGTCAACTGATAACATGCTTAATTGGGACAATAACTGATTCAAACTGTACAAGTCCCAACAGGCTAAATCATTACTTTCCCAAAAGTCCTGCTGAACTAAAAGTAAACCAATATCTCTATTTGGGATTCTCAAGGTAGGCTGCAACCCATTCTAAAATTCTCATCACCTGGAATGTTTATAATTCTCTAAACAGAATGGAAATAAATAGTTAAAACGATTTCACTTTGCATCCAATGTCAATTTCTGTAACAGAGGAAGTAACAGAAAGTGAAATATGAACATGCTAGGAAGACAAGCACTAGCAGGTGCATGCTGCAAATTAAAAACGTGTAAAACTCTGATATATACTATTCAACGATAAAACCATGCAACTTACTTTTACATACTCCAGCTATTGCCACGGCTTCTGTGGTATAGTAGGCTTTTGGAGTGCAAGTTGCTGCACGAAAAATAACATATGACAAATAAAATGAAACATTCAACTAAATTCATGTACCAGAGTCCCAAATTTGACGTCCAACGACCAACTCGCTACATTAAATGAGTTTTGGTAAGAAACAGCTGGAACCAAAAGTTCATATAAGCAAATAACCTAAAAATTGAACTATAAGAGCATTACACCTGATGTTACCACACAAGTCACAATTCTCGTAGAATTTGTATGGAGCTGTTAATCCTGTTCAACTATCACACTCAAATTTCCCATGCAATCTTCTTCAACATTATTGAAACATAAACAAAAATAATTAATATTAATTATTCTTGCTAGTTGCTACCATCAAAAGAAGAGAAAATAGCAGCAGTCACTTACAGGTCACCCAAGCCTCCCCAACTTGGAAAAAGATAAATATCAATCAGCACCTTCATCCCAGTGGTGGCTGAAGATATCCTACCAACTTTATTTTTTGCTTATCATAGCTTGTAAATGATCTCATTACTGTCTATATCACCTTTTTCTAACTCTGACCATGTGATTACTCTCTACTTCACATTATAATTGCATCCTCGTATCGCAACGTATAAATGCAGAGCACTAACATTTCAAAAGCGACGCTGGGAAAACTTGAATGCTTATGGCTCTGACTTTAACTCAATTTGAACCATTCTCCATGAAAAAATGAAAAAAAAATTATAAAAAATAAAAAAAGTGACACTTACTGATGCATTACTAATGAAAAATTAAAATAAAAAGCTATCAATTCGTTACTCAGTTCTAATTCTTGTTCCATTTCGAACTATAGTCTTTCCACTCAAATTTCAATAACTACAATCTAAACAACAAAACAACCCCATAGCTTCTTTAACAAAACTATTAGTACAGGAAAGAGAGAAAAAAATCTTTCATACAACAAATGCACTCACGAATACATAAATCGGCATGGGGACAAATATATATTATAAATATTTATTGCACATAGAGGGAAAAAAAATAGAGTTACTAAACACTTACAACAATATATAGCGGCGGCGTCAAATCAAGATGTATTGAAGGCAAAAACAGTAGCATCAGCTGAAAATATCACATATTTAAAATCATCCGTGATAAGAAAAAGGGTATTTTTAGGGTTAGGGTTTTCTTGATTGATGAAAAAGAGCAGTGACCAGTTTCTGCCAGGAAGAGACAGAAAGTATGAAGGGGAGAAAGATAAAATAATTATAAATAAATAAATAAAAAGGTAAATGCGAACATGAATGTGCCAGAATAAAATTCTATATCCAGATAAAGTAAGTACAATTAGGGAAGCGTAACGAACAATCAATTTTTCTGGCACGACGAAGTTTGTTCTGGCAGTACAATTTTATTTGGTGGCAACGTGCAATTGGTGGGGCCTGAGCCTTTTGAGGTGGTTAGGGACGAGATGACATGTTGTCCTTACTCAGCAAGGTCGTGTTTGTTACGAGAGAAGAGTGATTAGACGGGAAATATTAATTTTCAAAGAAAGAAAATGTTTCTTTCGTCTTACCAAACATCACTTTATTGTCTGTGGTCCTCATTTTGTCATGAAATAGACCCCATGAAATGATTATTGTAATTATTAACACCGCCCCACTCGGCTCCTAGAGCATTGTGGAGGAGTTAAATCACGAGACGTGCCTCAACAGGTGGTACAAGAGCTGCCATAATGATTATCGTAATTATTGTAAATATTATGGACGTGTCTGAGCTTATTTTTTGAAAAAATAAGTTTTATAATAATGACTTTTTGGAAAATGTGAGGTTAAAAAGTAGGAAATATTTTGGTTTACGTGAAAAATTATTTTATTAAAAAAATTTATTGTTAAAAATAAGTTTAAAAAATGACTTTTTATAGAACAATCATATTACATGTACATCATGGTTGACAAAAAAGTTTGATACTCTTCCATATAGCAGCAATTTACACAATTAATTTTAAACACATATTCCCATAGTTGCTTAGATTCCTTCCACCTAGGGGATGTAATATTTGGTGTCAAACAAGAATGTACATCTAATTTAATTCTTGAGTCGTACTACAGTGCTCGCGTGAGTGACCACGGGGATGACCGCACACACACACATGGGGGTCGGGATTATTTTATTCACATGGGACCTGCGCCTCGACTGTGAGTGTGCGGTCATCCCCACGGTCACCGGCGTGGATCGTTTAGCATTTTTCTTAATTCTTTATGGAGTGGGGTCAAATCAGGGCTATATCAAATAAACTATTTAATAATAAAGCAATGGACATTGATCTGGATGTTGGAGTATTTTTTTGTACTTGTTGGTGAAGCTTGTGTTCCTTTCTTGATTTCATCATTTCCCTTTTGGTTCTTTTTACAGCAATGCATGTGCAGAAATCAATGCCATTGTTGAAAAAATGTTTAGTGGTACATTATGAGATTTAATTCTTCATGAGACTCCTTGTATTAAGATTTCATGTTCCATCGTGAAAGGTTAAGCTCGTTGGAGTAGTAGTTCAAACTCGAGATTTGTTAATTGTTTAAGAGTGAGGGGCATCTATGAAATTTTCATAGACTTCGGTGGAGGTCTATGTAATTTGCTCTTTTTATATTTATTCAATGTAGAATTTACTTTAACACGTCCCACAAGATAGTATCTCGTTTGATCAGACAAATTTTAAAATCTAAGTGCTGCTCGTTAATGGGCCCTACTACTATATTAAGCTTTTGAAGTTTCGTCTTAAAATATCAATTTTATTTAGAGAAGTAGTAGCACAAGACCTTATGCGTCAATTATTTAATTTACATTTATTCAATGTAAAATTTATCACTTAATACGTTTGATTGCTAGAGTACTTACCTTGTCCAACTAGACCAAAATTTGAGAGGAAACTCCACAAAATTGTATATCTTCTTTATGTGAGAAAAATATTGAAAAAAGATGATGACGAATTTTCACAAGGTTGATTAAATTGGTCTTTTGACCTATAACGAAGAAACCCTTTTAAGCAGGAAATAAGTAGAAAAATTAAAAGGTGTCAATTTGTCATTGGTCCTTTAGGAGAAGATTATCTTGAAATTATGTCATCAGTAAAATAAACGAATGAAAATGGACAGAGTTTACCAAATAGATGGTACTTATAAAACTTCATACAAGGAAATAACATTATGGCTTTCACATTTCTAAACTTTTTCTGTTGTATTTAGTATTACAACAGTATCATAAAAATTCTAATCAGTTGACAATAAAACAGTTGATACATTTCCTCTTTTCTTTAACAAAAAAATTCGAAAAATGAATGAACAAAATCAGTTTCTTACAGATTCTTCCACTATGTCGTTACTATACATCCCTGTTTAAAATTTTCTGCTATTTTAACAACTGCATAATTCCTTTGTCTTTAACCGGATGATACCTTTGCTGGGTTGTGAACTCGAGATCATAGATTATCGAATCTGCATAAAAGAACACAGGACGAGACGCTTCAGCTACTAGACCTATTAGTACAAAGATAAGAAATAAGGATCCGTTTGATAGGTAAAGGAGAAAAGAATTCCAATTCCATGTTAATTGGAACATAAAAACACACCAAACCCATAAGAATTCATTTTCCATGAAACAAAGAAAATGCAGCTTAAATGGTTGTACCTTGGAATTCGGTTTCCATTTCCACGTTGCAATCAAACGGTCAAAGTGGAATTCGTTTTTCTCGGATGTGATATTTTTCATGGAAAATGTGGCAATCAAATAGAGCCTAAAGGATTAGTCCTAGAGCTCGAATGATGATTGTTTCTCTTTCGAGTTTGCCTTTTTCTTTTCCTCCTAGAAGAGGCAGAAAAATTCAAGGATCCTAATTTGATGTTAGTAGAAGAAAACAGTAGGAAGCCATCGCTAAATGTCATGGTGCAAATGCTTAAAAGATCTCGAATGAGTTGGTCAATGGAACTTCTATACGTGTAGTTCACCATGTGGCCAAACCAAAGCAGTTCAGGGATAAAACCACTCCAGACTGCCTAAAAAAGAGGAAAGGGGGCAATTAAACATACCCCGTGCTTGCACTTGTAGAATCAGGTTTGTTGCTGCCAAGCAGATATGAAATGACTATTTCATTCCATATATCAGGTACTCCGGGTAGACACCAGTGGCTACAATCGGATAAAGATGGCCTGTCACTCCAAGTACCCACATGTGCATCACTTCGAAATGCCGACATCGGAGTTATATGCAAAACAGTAACAGGAACTGTCATATTGTTTACCACCTCGAATACTGTGTCTGAAAATGGACTACTATCTTTACCCCTGGCTTCTAAAAGAGGAAACTTCGTGACATTGCATTGCCTCAGAGTTAGATTCCTGGTGCAAAAACAAAACAGCATTTTTTAAT